GGAGGGAGCGGTGGCCAGGTCTTTATACACTCTGGACCCTGGTGGATGCCTCATTTGAGGGATGGAACACAAGGCATAGCCTATCAGAGTTGACCTGAGGTATTTAGCCCGATGAATTCCGGCATGCCACAGCCTCAAAAGGCAGCCTTTCGTATTTTGCGACCCAGGCAGCTGCATGTAAATGCAACATAAACGACTTGGACGCCTCTGAGAGTCCGCGACGTCGATCCGCCGCCTTATTGCGATTGGAGTCTCGACTGCTCCCAAGCGATCTGTCTGCTTCGAGGAAGACAACGGTCACGTGGCACTCTCGAACGTTCGACATCTGTGGACTTCTCCATGAGGTCGGCTGTATGTCATCATCTGTCAGGACTCGATGTAACGTGGGGGAAGCAAGCTGGAAGTAAGCGACCCACCTATCCACCGAGGAGTATTCAATTGGGTTTGTTAGGACTTCAGCTTCCCAGGCCAGGAAAGTCAACGGGTGCCGCGATGATGCCTGTCAGATAAACACACATGTGCAATGGACAGATTCATTCGCTGTGGGAGGGTCGCAAAAGATACAAAGCCCGTAGGACACTGAACAAGGCGCACGGTAAGTGTGTACTTCGAATAGAGATGCGGTGGAAGTGTTCTGGGCATAGCGGCTCACCTGGACGCCGATGTCGCAAGTGGCATGCCCCGAGCTCTGGGAATAGATGCCTGGGTTGGCTGACAATAGTTCTGACAGTCTCTGGAGCAGCGCTTAGGCGTGCCTAGAGTGGTCCTATTGTAGTGCTAAAAGCACTGTCGTTGCTTGAAGGTCAGCTCCATGTCGCAAGGGACCGATATCGAGTTGGCGCTCAAGTGCAAGGTGTATTAGTGTATCATTCGAGTGAACACCAATGTATTTAGTGAAGAGTGACGCCAGAACGTAACGCAGTCGGGACAAGAAGACTCTGTCTTCCGGCAGAGATACCGTCGACTGCTCACTGACGGGCCAAGTCCGCCTAGTTGCTGACATGATTATTGAAATCCCGAGCAATCGCTAGTATTCAGAGGTAAAGCGCCATGTGCCAGACAACACCAGCAGAGCAGTACGATTACTCTAGATCGCCAACTTGTCTCGCTAGGATAAACCTCCCGCTTCTACGCCTCCATAGTCAGTGATCGAGGCCTGTGACTACCACGACAGCCCAGTATCGTGATGATCACCTGACGTCCAACAATGCCCTGGCATATACGCGGTCATCCCCGAAACCTCGAATGTCCGGCTTCCGGCTGGTCTTGCTAACCCGTTTCGAAAGGTGGCCGCTCCCCAGTGGCACACAGAACATGACAAATCCTGGAGGGCTTATAGCGAATACGGTAGGTGGCTTCAAGCCCTCTGGTCAGCGCCTTATTTGACACTGGACACTGGATTGCGTACTCAGCCGCAGAGATGCACGGACCAAGCATTATGGTGAACAAGACTGGGGTGGCCGCAACGATTTCAATAGAATGCGTAAGTCAAGTTCCGTACTGACGACGCAGCTTGATGTAGACAAATCATTTCACTTACACCCTTCGCCACTTGTGTTTTAACGGAAAGTAGTAGGTTCAACTTTGAAATCCATGTTTGCCAGAATTAAGTAGTAGTATTCTTGCTGAATGCACGTGACCTCGGTAGCCGTGCAAGTAGACAAGCGGAAATCGGTGCTGGTCCAAGCTCTGCGAGCCTATCAGCTGCGCCCCGATCTTATCAGCCCTCTTCGTCCATTGGTTGCTGTGACAATCTGATCTTCTGGGGGCCTTTCTCACAGACATGCTTTCCCAAGACATCAACTTTGAGAACTTGGTCGGAAACACTTCTTCTTCCCTTTCGAGCCACCATCTGCTCGTCTCGACGACGTTTTCTTCTGCATACGAGTATTACGAGAAGTCAAAATCACTGTCGATCGAAGCCGTATGTTCATCGCTTCCCATCATTTCCGATGAGCGCCCCCATCCCAAACCTCGACGACACTCCCACCAGGTTTGTCAGGAATTGGCTCAGCTCCCTCCCCTACAACATCGACGAGCCTTCCACAACCGACTTCGAAGCTGGTCCGCCAGCCCTGCAAAATAGGACGAGGAAACGTCACCGAATTCTTACGCCACCCGATTCCGTAAACATGGCACCATCATCCCCACTCAAACGGTCGCAACTGGGTGACGAATCCCATAGCATCTCAACCTCGTCAGATGGCCACGCTTCCGCCACCAGCCTGGAAGCAACACCAAGGGCGAGTCTCCCACAGAGAAGCCGGTGCTTAGCGATGCCAGTAGCCAGCTGTCGGGTAGCTCCACGGGGTCTAGATCGCCGACGAAGAGACGCAGGAGAACAGATCGAAACCCGCATAGGGTAAGACATTTCGACATGAGCGCCAACGCTCCCTCGTCGTTGCGCGAGATATGGAAACGAATAAGAGAGTACTCCCGGGGAGTGGGCGTGATCGATTTCTGGAAAAGGTAACGGAACCCTGCGGGACTTTCGGCCTGATCAACCTTGCTCTTCCACCCCGCCTGAAGCACACAGGCTAACCCTCCGCCGGGCATTTAGGAGAATATCGACGAGGCGAAAAAGATTTGTCCCGATATGGAAGAGATCAGATATTCGCTCTACTTCGACGACGCCTCCGTCAACACAACCGATGGCTTGTCCCGACGCGTTCTGGGACCGACTCCTACGACACAGCAGGTGACGGAGATGGTGTCCAGAGCCAAGATGTGTCGCGACTATGAGTTCGACGAGGCGGGCTGGAACACCAGTCTTCATCACCACGTCATCAATCTGGCGGTACCGGAGTTTTACCAAGCGACAGGCAAACTTGTCTACATGATTCCGTGGTGTGTACTTGCTGCTTGTCGTCGTCCTATCTAATATTTCTGGAGTAATCCTGACATCTGTTTGCGTTGTTTGTTAGCACGAGTGCAAACACCCTTCCGGACCTTGTTCAGACAAGCGCATTTCGGAAAGTCGATTTCTGCCTCTGCATCGAACCCACTGGTGCCGCCGCCCAAGCCATCAATAGATTGGTGCTGACCGAGACGCCGTCTATCAACCACACAGAGTACGGCGCCCTGAAAACACGTCCGATTGTCCTTAGTATCGAGACGAAGCTTCAGGGTGAAGGCCTATCGGTCGCTGAGGCCCAGCTCCTGACCTGGCATGCGAGCCAATGGCGCATGCTAGATCGTCTCATGGCCGGCACGGTTCCGCGGATGCCACTGATCGATTTTCTTCCTGGCATCATTGTCCAAGGAAACGACTGGTTATTCGTAGCGAGTACGAGAGATGGAGATGAGGTGGTAAGTTATGGCATGGCAGGATGACGTTCCGGCCACACACCCTCCCTTCCCCGATGCATTCTTGCGGGAAATATGCTGACACATGAGACGATAGACGTTGTGGTCGAATCAGATGATTGGCTCGACAAGTGAACCGCTGGGGGTGTATCAGATTGTCTGTGTGCTCCAGTTCCTGATATCCTGGATCGAGGACGTTTACTGGCCTTGGTTTCAGCAGGCCGTACTATGCCTTCATCCGGAGCCTGTGTAGAGAGATGAACTGAGCCGCAAGCTTCCCTCTATCCGCCATGCCATACTCCACAGCGTTGTCGTGGATGGGCGTGAATGTGGAAGCCCGCAGCGTCGCACTCATGACCAAGATCTTGGCAGGAGAACTTCCATTGTAATCCAACTTGGCAGTCTGTGAACAACGATGAAGAACCCTGTGGATATCGGAACGTGATATTGATCTGATTTGATGTTCGGAAAGGTAGATGAGATGCTACAAGGAAGCTCGTTCAACTCTGCAAGCTGCTAACTCATTTTGCTACCAATTGTCTGCTCCGGCTCCTCGAGGCAAGCCGGAATCATGCCTGGATTATTTCACCCGAGAAGAGACCATCATATTTGTGAAAGACATCAATGACGAAAGAAGAACACAGGAAGGGGCTGCACGGTGTTCCTGAGCTGATCTTATTGATTCGCGAAGTGACCTGCAAGTCCCTATGAGGCCGAGACCAACGCAGCTCAAGGACGGTTGACCCGGTGCTCAAGCCCATCCTTCCTAGGTATACAGAACCCGTGCAGAGATGCTTGAGGGTTCGGGTGACATCCCCAATAGTCATATTGCCCACAGCTTGCCTGCTGCCCGCGGACGTGGCGCCAACTGAGCTGTGACTTTTGTCGAACCTTCCAGTCAAACTGACGCCTCTTGTTACGGTGAGGCAGGCTGTGGATTTGAGCCAATTTATCTTCTCGTCCTCGCGAATGATAGCGTGGATTCGTTTATCTTCTCTAGATGATTCTTGGTGGCAATCCGCTCGAGCTGGATCCAATGAGTTCGAGGGGATTACCTGGTTCCCGAAATGCTTCAACATCTCCTCTGCTTCCTGGTCGTTGGCGGTACAGATCGAACCGAGCAAGCCCTTGTAGAAGGCATTCTCGGTCTCCTTTCGCTCGACTTCCTGTTTCAGCGCCGCTTCTGTGTCACCGCCCGGGCTCGATTGGCAGTGAGGATTAACAGCCTTACATGGGTCGAACTGACATTGACGCTCGACATGAGAAAGAATACAGCCCTGTAGAAACTCAAGTTGGACCTCCTCCTACGGTAACGACCAGACAATGGGCGGCTTGGAGCGTACCTGATTGCATGACTGCCCTACCAGCGTGGAAAGATCGGGCTTGACTTTCACTCGAGGTTCCATGTCGATGAGTTGACTCGGTTCATTGATCAGTTACGGAGGGGTTGGTTGGTGCAGTTCCGTGATGGACGGCGCAGCTACCAAATGGTAGGGCGGGTCGACGGACAGATGACTGGCTACCCAGATGCGGATCCAGGCTTTCTAGCCTTCGAATTTATTGCAGAGTCAGGGCTGACAAGGCAACTCACGGTCTTGCCAGCTCGGCGCGCAGATCGTTTTTGTCGAGTCTTGCGGATCAATCGCTTTCGTTGAGTCATCTGGTGGAGTTTAGAGCGGCCTCTTATGGTCTTTTGGAGCAAGGTACAGTCTGGGAACACTGCCTGCTGGGCTTTATGCCTACGTCGACTGGCCACCTTTTTCGCCGGTCAGGCTGAGCAACTTGCTTTTTAAATCACCGGATGTCCCGCGACTGGTCAACAGCCGGTACAGGCCTGGACTATGTATGTGACCGGCCGCTTATGGAGGCCCTCTTGGGATGGTTCAAGTCTGAGGGGCCCTCACACAACAAAGGAAGATGCTGCAAGGAGCTCTCAGAGACCTTGCTAGGTCGAAGGACTACTCAATGAATGGCCGGAGGTGAGATGCGTCAAGTTTGGGATGTTTTCGAAATTCGCCCGCCTAACCGCGTTCACAGCGGTGATCACGACATGGCTCCTACGGATACGCCGACGACGAGTCACTGGTGTGGCCTGAAGGACGGCCCTATGCCAGGCCTCGGAACAGGGAACGATCCCTTGTCTACTTCACGGAGCCCTGACACCCTCCCAAAGGTATCGATTCACTTCCATGCAGGTCCTGACGGCCGTAGTCGCCCGGCGGTATTCATTACATAGTGCGGTTAACGCAGGGATAAGGAAGGAGAGAAGCTTCCCGGGATCAAGCACTCTCCAAGACAGGCAGTGGTTTCGCGTGTTTCCCGCTGCAGCGACACTTGACAGGTCAGCTAGAGCGGAGCTGCACAGAAGAGGTAGCTGATCTGGGGAAGATGAATCACTCACGGGCTGTAAAAAAGCCGCCGGACCCTGGCAGGCTCGTTCCGGCGGAGGGCAGGGAAGGTAACCTGACAGGGGTTTGCGCGTCGTTGGCAAACAACCACATGATTGGGTTGGATCTAGCTCGCTAGGCAGTGCGTGATTGGTGGTATTTATGCCACGCGCAGCGGCCCTTGTTGCAGCGCCAAAGCCACCCAATTTGGGATGCTTGGAAGGCGAGCAGGCGGAACCGACACCCTCGTCCGCGGATAGTCGGGGGCGTGTCGCGACTTCCAGGCTCAGTGTCACGTATACTGTACTTGGTCGTGCATTTAAGGACGCCCCACTCGACTCGCAGCAAAGGGATTGACCCCGGCACACCGGCCCTACTGTGGTCCACTTCCTTTCGGCGGATACGTTCGGGCGCCCGAACAGGCGTCATCCTCGTCCGAAATTGGCCTTCTTTCTACACCTTCCTCGACTCCAGGACTCCTCACGTTCGATGATGCTGCGTAGTGTACACCGACCGTTCGACTGAACGGGTTGTGCCGTAGCCTCCCTGCACATAGAAGGGGGCCAAAGTGAGGTGGCAAGCAGCGACGTGTATGCGCCTGTGACGCCCCGAGGCCAGCCTACGCTGACCAGTGCAGGAGTCTAGGTTGGTGGCGTGGCTAGTACTGAGTTGACAGTGATGCATATTTTTCCCATCCAAGAACATGTTCAAAACACTATTGAGCTGCTTCTGTAGCAGCAGTGCCTTCTTCATACCCGGCACGCGTACCATCCGGGCCGTAAATCGTTCGAGTACTTCGCTGCGATCTCTCCAGTGGCGTAGGTCGGAGGCGAGCCTTCCATTTGATAGAACATACTATGCATCTGTCCGATGAGGCGGATTTAGATTCAAAAGGTTGCACTATGTCAAATGCGAGAGGTTTGGTGTCTTGATTGATGCAGCTAGACGTGACTGGGGTATTCCTCATCTCTCTCAATTCATTTACCTGGACTGACAGCCTTCATTTCCCTGTTCACATCAAACGAGTCGAATCTTTGGGCAGATACAAAATAAACCGTCCTGCGACTGCGATGGGATCCTGCAACTTCCATGAAAACCGCCTTCATCAAAACTAGCATCGTTCCTCATCTCATCCCGAGCTCCTTCATCTTCGTTTCCACAAACCGCATTTGATTGCCGTAGTGAGCGACGCGGATAGAAAGATAGGGAAGCGGCGGCTTGGCTTTGTCGCTCACGCCGGCGATGCTGCTCATGCTACTGTAGACATCAAATAACTCGTGGTACATGCCATGTGCCTTGCGCAAGTCCTGTCTCTCCAAAGTGGAATCCTCTGCCTTCCCAGTCGCCTTCCATTTGATATTCACAAGTAAGTTGGCGTACCTATCTAAGGCAGTGTTTCGAATGAGCCTATCCTCTCAGACTCCGAAAGATCTCGCAGCAGGTTTTCAATGCCTCTTCGGCTTTGGGGAACTGCTTCTCATTGATCTGGATGTCTATCCAACTAATTCGGAGTTCAGAAAGTTGAAATGCTGGTGTTCTTGCACTCTTCTGCGCGTCAAGTTCACTTCGTGCCGCATCATACTCTCCCTTATCCGTGTAGAAACTGCCAAGTCTCATATGAGCTTCTTGGAGCAGCGATTCATCCTGGGTTCCATCTAGGACTTCTCGGAATAGCGAGAGGACATCGTTCCGACGTCTTTGGCAGTTGTCTTGATCCAAGTTGCATGCGGTGACTCGGAGAGCGTCCGCCAAGCTAACGGTACTTTTGAATGTTGGTTGGTTTTGCCGAACATCTTCAACTTGCCTCGAGTGACAACGGTAAACGCCTCGAGAGCAAAGTTCCACATCTGCACCCAACGAAGTCTCCGTGCAGTCTCGTGCAACTCGTCCCAGTTCTGGTTAGAGAATGCAGATAGTGCTTGGGAAACCAGGTCTCGGACAGCTCGGTCATGGTTTCTGGAGGTCCTGGGCAAGTATTAGTCATAACAGTCTAGCTGAGCTAGCGATGAGCTTACGTCGCCTTCTCGAAGCTTTTGACAAAGTCTTCGTCAGATATGTAATGGGATAGAATCTCCTCCATAGCTTGAAAGAAGGGCCAGTTGACTGATCAACTACGGCTGTTCGGGTCGTTCAATGAGTCGCCATGTGCGGTGAAGTCGAGGACCCAAAGCATCGGTAGGCAGCTCGCGTGCTTTATAATCATCGAAGCCTACATCCAGCCGCTCAGTCTCCCAACAAAGTTCGACACCGTCCCCAATCGTTACACGTCCTTCGATGTCTGTGTCATTGGACCCCTGCTGTATCACAACCGGCTTCCATTGCAACATACCTGGGCTAGGGACAGTAGAACGCCCTAGTCGAGGAGAGAAAGTTCAAGCGGTGTGTATGAACATGGTCCAAGGCGAAGCTACAGGGGCAAAGAGGACCAATCTTAGGTCAGAGTCTCACATGTAGGCCCATGTCAGCTCGAGGCAGGCTGACCAGCAAGTGCTACTCTCTGTCAATCTCTGATAATGTATCCTGGCAGTTGCGGCCTGGAAGCGCGAATCCAGAGGCTAATAAGTTCTATTGCTTGTCACCTTTCACCTCTAGTTACCTGATTCACGAAGCAACTCGCTGCCCTTGTCTATGATCCTGGCTATCTTGACGCGCGGACACGTTTTCCCGCAGGCGGCCGAGCTGTCCCTGCTTCCGGTGTAAAGTTATCAACAATGCCTCACCCCGCAGCCCCTTGATCAAGCACACCGCCCTCGAAAGCAGTTAGACACACGAACCGAGTTTCGAATGAGTCATAGTTGATGGAAAATCTACCACGCCGTGGGCAGGACCCTAGAGCGAACGCAAGCGCATAGCATTGACACTGTGTCATCGAGCTGCGCACCGGTTCTACTTTTGCCATCGCCAACGCAACTAAAAGCGACAGATGGAATTGCAGCTTTCGCTTCAATAGGTACCAAAAGACGTCTCTATTCACGGTCCACTGTGGGAGGAGAATGGATGCCATCTACGATGTTCACGCTCCATTCTTCAGCGATAGAGAAGACAGATCCAGCTCTCCTCAGGCGTCAGGGCGGTCAAAGAAGGCGACATAACGAGAATATCGTACTGCCAGTGCGTTGAAATGAGAAGGAAACCTGGATACTTATGTACAAATGCGATGAAACTGACTCTCGTAACTTCTCGCCGATATGGCGGGTCAGCACAGCTACTACGAGGAGAAAACGTCCTTCTACCGGAACGAAAGTACAATACCGAGAGCTAGACATAGTGCCGCGTAAGAGTCATAGAGTAATCTATCCCTGTAGTAAAGAGGTGGTGAGATGTGCACACGGACGGAAGTGGTGGAAGTAGCGACGGTAAATTTCTATTGACCCGTAGGTAGTGAACCCATGAAACCAATCACATCTACCACAGTTCTGGCCGAGTGAGGCTTACCTACCATGATCATTGTGAGTCCCTGACGACGTGAGCGGAAATCAATACGGCGTAGCACACTTCTACAATGGAAAAATAGAGAAGTGAAGTAGTATGGGCTGATTCGCAAGCTTGACCTTCGCGGTTGAAGCCGGCTTTAGGTGGTCCTGGGCGCGCCTTCGATGCCTGCGCCAAAGTCTGTGTTGCACAGGTAACCTATCTCATCATTGACGAACAGATCCTTGAACGCCCCTTGGTTTCCAAGTGACAGGTTAGAACAACGGAACCCAAAAGGCCATGACGAACGTGACAGTCAGCAGCCGCTCGGTGCAAGAGAGAGCTTTCCAACATGATATGTTACCTACGTTAGACGATTCGACCACCTATCTCCGAATATGCCGTGCCATTGCTTGGATAGCTTTCCCAATTTCCAATTTTGGCGGCCGTCACCTCTCTCTCCAACCGCCTTCAGCTACGGACTGCTTCCGTGTCGACTTACCAGCATAAGTACTACGCTTACCATTATGTAAAAGCATTAAGCATGCGTCAGCGGGCGCTTTGCGTACTCGCGCTATGCACACCTGCGATCAGGCTCCAACTGGAACCGGGAGGACTAGCGAGAAGACATCAACAACGCGGACAAGGAGCCAGGGATGCACGCCCAGGCCTCGGATGAGTGTAGCACCCTGGACTGGAGATCAGCGCACTGAAATCCCACCCCATTGATGTGTGTCCTGGTATCGCCCGCCTTCGACGCCTCATGTGTGGCGCTTGCCTGGCCTCGGTCGATAACATTCGAAATTCTTGCCAGCCTATGTACTTGGTCCGCCATTGTCCAACATGGCGGCGCCAGGTTATTCGGACCTCCTTACACCAAGCCGGACTTTGGTCCTCGGGCCGGTATTGTCCCACAAATGTTATCGGAGCGGGGTGGGCCCCGGGGCAAAACGCCCACGGTTCCGTATTCTTCTTGTTTGGTCCCGAAACCGGCCGGCCGTTTGGAAACTGGCGCTTGTTAGCGACGCTACCCAAACCTGGAAAGTGGCCCCTTGGCGACAACCGCTTTCTCGTTTACGCAGCTCGTTTCAATGTCTCTATGTTGAGTCTGCGAGCCAACGTCATGTCATTCATTTTCAAGGAAACTCCAAGTACTGATCCGTACAATGATAGATTCTTATCTGGTAGTGGAGGAAAACAGCGACAAGTGAACCCCTATTCTCGGTAGTGCAAGGTTGGGAAGACCTTACACCTGTGCATGAGAGGCGAGAAAGGATGCATTTACTCAACACTCTGATTATCTTCTATGGAGTTCGGATCTCCCATATTTGACTTGCGCTTGCCGCTTACGTGAAGGCAGCTTGTGAAACACTGCTCAGGGGACGGCTTTGGGTGTTTGCCAGCAAGTGACTGGATCACAGACCTCGTGAGGGGCGAAACCGCAAATGGTTAAGATCAATCGAGATCATTCAAATTGGAAAGAATTCAGGCTCATGGAGGGGAAGAGAAAGACAATTTATCCGAAGGTCTGAGGACTGCGGCTATGGTTCTGCTCGCACACGCAGATATCAACCTAAAACATTCTGGTACTGTCTCCTGCCTACTATCTATCTCTAGCGGATTACCAGACACCTCCTGGAATTTTCCAGACAGACGTATGCTCCTCAATCTATAGGCTTCCCTTCATGCCCCGTAGCAGGAGTTTTAGAGTCAACATTACTTGACATCGGCTGGTCTTGGGGAAATGTAGCACCGCTTTGCACTCTTGAGACCTGAAGTAACGAAGAACATCACATCACGGCATGATTGATCAGTCCTCAGTACATTTGGCTCATATGAAGCTAGACCATCTGTCTAAATGAATCGGCTTCAAAAAATCGATGACTATCCAACTTGCGTACCGCATTTCGCCTGGTGAAGGGCAAAGCCCGGGGTTTTACGCCTTCCCCTGAAGACGTGTCACTACAACAAAAGGGGCACTGGGCAGGGATTCTTGGTTTATGGCCTTATTCCTGAGGGCATCAACTTGTTACTATCTTACCTTCCGTAACCTTGACGGCTCTGATATAAAAAGGCGGCTTTCTTCTTGTTCGGGGACGTTTTTTGGTCGCCGTTCTCACCTCCAACATCTCCAAATACAACCGAACCACACGATGTCAGTGAGTGCTGCTACTCTCTTTATATACTATCTAACCCGTTGTCAGGAGTGGCCGGCGCTACTCTGAACGCAGAAGGCCTGGCGAAAGAGATCTGTCAGGCGGCCAGTCAGCAATCACAAAAAAAACCTACCGCCCAAAAGTAAGCCGAAGTCCTGAAATGCTCTCACTGCTTCAGGATGCCAAACTTTCTCTAGCGTTCTAATGAAGTAGAGAATCAAGTAGCATCGGCATCAAATAGCTAACCAACTCTTTCCAGGCATGCGCTGAATGCCGTAGATTGAAGACTAAATGCTGCAAGGTCGGACCATGTAAGACCTGTCAACGGCGGAAGGTCGACTGCTCTCTCCTAGGAGAACGAAAAGTAGACAGTTTTCCGATTTCCAACCAGAGCCCAACCTCTTGTGTGAAAATGGAATATTTCGAGAACGCATCCAATCCAAATTTCTCAGGTCAGAAAATTCACGTCATCTCGGAAACACAAATTTCAGTCTCTGATCTATAACAGGCCACTTGAGACGAGTATCGGCAATGCCCAATGATTACATTGCACCCGTTACAGCTCCGGGGAAAAACGATGTGCTGCAACCAGGATTCAAGTCTGAACCTCAAATGACCCATTGGGTGGTCTACGAACGTTTCGACTCAGGCAAATTGGTTTACAGCGGTCTTGGGGAATCCTGTTGTGTCCCCCTCAACTGTGTGCGTGGTTTTGATAAGCTGATACTTCAAGCTATGGAGCAACACCAATGTCTGCTTTCCGAGAGTGGCTATCATGAGGGTTACCTGAATGCTCTGACGATGTTGTCCCGAGACATAGTGATGTAAGTATGCTGCCTCACACCATCGGCCTGCCCTAATTGTGAGAAATCAGTCGGATTTACTATGTGGCTTACTTGGATTTTTGCCCTTCCAATCCTTTTGAGCATTCGGTAGACTTGGATATGGTTTACAAAGTCGACCGAACTTGTGTTTACTGTTGTACTCCATCGGCGGTACTTAGAATGGATTCTCTCGTTCACTTAATCGACTCCGAGTAGAAAGATGAGAAACCAGATAGCGTGGATATGGCCTTGAACATCTCCTCCCGGCGTACCGTTAAATATGTGACTCCAATGTGACACAGGTTGTAGATAATTGCAGAACTTTTGTAAATGCCTACAACACAGATATCCCCTGCTCGGCCGACATCGGCTGAGGAGGCCTGCTGCTTCCCTCCGCAACAGAAGTCCTCCAACCTGTATCTCTATCTCCCCAATCAGGAGGTCAGTCTTCCATCCAGGTTCTACGATGCAAGTTTAGCAGTCGCCAGCTTTCTCGTACGTTTTAAGCCGCGACGAAGAGGCCTGCTGAGGCAAATTTGGGGAGGGATGGAGGATACGATGGCGACGCCGGAAGCTGGGCAAGGTATCGGGCGGATCGCGGGAATATCGGTGGAGAACTCTGGGCAGTTTTTTAGGAAGTATGCCCCCATGGTCCAGAGATACTTGTCTGATGTCTTTTCCTTGAACATGAACAGTATTATACACAAGCAGGTGATAGAACTCTTGTCGCATGTGTCATAGATATCATACAGCCATATAAACGGAAGTTAGATACGCAGACTTGACTGTTGCAATACATCTATCGTCCAAAACCAAAACGTAATTGAACACTGGGCCAGGGATCTTGTTAGCGAAGTTAGATGTCGCCAGCCAGGCGCTCATATATACCCATATGCATCCGTTGAGGACTGAGAGAGGAGAGATGGAGTGCGGACAAGGATTCGGGGTTCTGGCAGCCACTCCATATACTGGGAAACGTAAGCCCTGCCCTTGAATCAACTCGTGGACCTCAAGAGGACGTGATCAAGGCTTTAAATCGTAGAGCACGCTAGATTAACGATCAGCGGACTAGGTTTTCACATCACTAATATTCGTCTACACAGCTGCTGGAGATCTCTCCTTAGGAGCACCGTTGGATGTGTGACTCTACTTGAGGGGTCAAGGCGCATTTCGCAACACCCGGCTGCGCAAGAAAGCAGTGGGAGAAACTTTTGATGGTAGCCTTGGTCCTCAAAGGGATGTTGTCTCGCTGAGTACATAATAGATCCTCTATACGCCATCTTCGTATCATCTAGTCCCGCCTAAGAACCTAGCAACGACCTGATTAACAGTCTAAGATTGCCGAGGAGTCGTGTTTGTATGTACCAATGAGGCCCAGTTTTTTGCAGTACTGTACACCTCAATGAAGCCGTTAGATCCCATAGCCGGAGCGTCGCTCATTGAAAAGCCCACAGTAGGCTGCCGCAAACCCGCGCGGCCAGTCGCGAGCCAAACCGTCACTCGATGTCTGCATGCTGCGTAAACATCGTTTCCATGCATTGTTTCCCCCATGGTCGTCATTGATATCTCACAACCAATGCTTTCACCAGCCCTGAGAATAGTAACTTTCATAATGTTCGGCAATGTAGTGCTTCACAGGGCTCGCAATATCCTCTTTTGTATTGTTGTAGGTCCTCTCGGGGTACTACTTCAGGTTCGCGACATTGTGGAAGATATGGCGGTGCTCTTAGCAGTAGAATCCTTCTGAAGGCACACAGAGGGAACATCCCTTCGGACAGACTCCGCAACTTCGGTTGCGATCATGTTGCATCGAGTGGTTTGGGGGGAGGGAAGAGTCGCATTATCGTTATTGATACTCGCGTTGACAGGCCTAGCGGAGAACGGTGGCGCCTCAGTGATGGACTTCAGCGGCACCGAGGTCTTACCGCGGCTCATCATCAACGGAGTACCGTCGGTATCGTCGGGAGAGCCAGCCAAGGTAGGCGGGGCCGGCTGGCTGGGAAGAGTCCAAGGGAGTGCCGAGGTGGACTGAGGGACAACATTGCCCACCCCTCTGTCGTTTGTCTTCTGCTTAAACAAGAGGGTAAGAAGAGAGCAATGCGAGTTCAGGCCAACCTTGGGTTCGATACGCTGAAAGAAAGTCTCCTCGCTGACGCTAAACACGTCGGCGCTGTCATCATTGTCAATCGCGCATTCGTCACCGTAGTCGGAATCTGGGTCATCAGGTTGTATCTTGTCCCTTCCCACGGAGGACTGAGAAGAAGGTGTTTGCCCATAGTCCTGAGCCTCCCTTTCGGGGTCGAGACCGGCCGAGTTCGGCATGCGCCTCTCGCTTGCCTGACCAGGCTTGTTGGCAGAAAGCCAACTCGACCCGGGAGTAGCAGCTGGAGGAACGGACCTGGGGCACATGTCCAGGCGTTTTCTTTGCTCTCGGAGTCGATGCTGGAGGCGGACTGAAGGATGGCTAGTGAGCGTTTCGGTTAGCTATTGGCGGTGATGGACGCTTGAAGCTGAGCGCAGGAAGACAATATGCACCGGGACCTAACTTGTCGGCCAGTACGCCGCCCGAGTAGCCCCATTGAAACAGATTGGATGCGTCAGCTACCAGTATGATGTTTGATATTCTAAGAACTCATGAACTCGTCGGCCTGGGTGGCGTCAAGAATCGCTGGAACGACGTGCGGGACGGGAGATCGAGACAGAAGAAGGGCTTGAGATAGCTTGCGAGGGCTCGATACCAGCTGTCATCAAAACGACTTGATGATCTCCAATGAAACGAAGCCCATGGGGTGAGTCGCCCGGAACTAGTACGCTGATCGACGGCCAGAGTTCCAGTTGGTCGTGGCAATCGAAGACCCGTTCGCGAAATTAGGTGCCGTTTGCCGATGCTGGCCAAAGTTCTAGTCTCATTGATGCGCGGGGATTGACTAGAAGCGGAAACACGGCTAATTGCCAGCCGGGAATGGCACGCTTCTGACACCGCTTGACGGTCTTGTGTGGAAGGGTGTAGAGGGTGGATAAGACTGGGGACTCACCATGTGCGGGCCCATCCCCATTTCCCGATTGTTCAGGTGCAGCCCGCGCAGCCAGTATCGAAAGTGGCATGGCACTATCGACGGATAGGTTCCTTAGCCGACGGGCGAAAGTGCGGTGGTGTCGTTGGGGTCGAGACTTTGGAAAGTTACGTTGATCCGACCAGCATCTAGTCCCATAGGTAGGCCCTCGTCGCGGAGGTTGTGCTACCTTGGGCGTTAAGGTTGGTCCGCCATCTCAGCTCCGCCTCCCCAGGGCTCCTAGCATGGTCCTCGACTCCAGCACTTCTACGGGCTATTGAAAGTATCGTGAGCAATCGGCTGTCGTCCTTTCGCAACTTTCCGCGGCGGTCAATTCTGCGCTTATTGTGTAACTAGAAGAAATACAATTCTTTCGACGCCGTCTGGGTAGCACGGTTTTATGGCTTCCCGTGAGAGGCGTCTGCGATGGTTCGCACGTCCGATATCCGCTGCGAGCAGGCTACAAGACAGGCCGTGAGGCAGACTCGTACAATTAGGCAGTATTGGGAGACCTGAGAACAGTCACTTGCACGTAGCACCGGCATCAGGGGCATGGACCTGGCAGAGGGAACATCAAACACACAATATGGGTACACAGGGTCGATTCAACATCATCTCCGGTCTGTCTAAGCAAGTTGCTGCAGGTACTTTCCGCCCATCACTTGGCTCCGTCGATCGCATTGAACCACCTAAGACCCCTCGCGTCTACCGGTTGACTATCCAGGGTCACTAAGACGTAGGTATGATCGGGCGTGTGACTTACGACAACACAGTCTTCGCACCGCGCACCGTGACGTTCACCCAGCCGGGGCAGTCGACGCCGTGCTTGTATCTGTTGACGCAGG